TATTGAATTAAGTCTAGAATGAAGTGTGCTAAGTTTCGTGAAAATTGGTTCAGATTTAGATATAGCTTCCATATATAGTATAGCCGGAATTTAGGTATATGGTGTACCAAGTCCCTATATATCTTTCGATTTGCACGAAATTTGGTATATCTTACTGAATTAGGTCTAGAATGACGTGTGCTAAGTTTCGTGAAAATCGGTTCAGATTTAGATATAGCTCCCATATATAGTTTCGGCCGATTTTAGGTAAATGGTGCACCAAAGTCCCTGCAAATCTTTTGATTAGCATGAATTTTGGCATAGCGTACTAAATTACGTCTAGAATGATGCGATGGTTTTAAGTAAATTGTGCACTAAAGATCCATAGCTAGGCCGATTGACACAACGTATATAATTTCGACTTATTTATGTTAATTGTACACCAAATAATCAAAAGGTTGAATCATGCCAAAATTCCGACGTCTTTTCGGATACATATGTAGAATATACTCAAAGTGGTGAAGGGTATCATATAGTCTGCCCAGTCCGACTTTTCTACGTTCCTTAATGGTTTAAAATAGCCCCAAACAAAATTCCCGTTTAAAATTACACATGACATTCCAACTTTTAGTATACCGATCATCATATCTCGACTATCTGAGTGAATCTAGATATCTGTATCCGTCTGTCTGTCCATTATATTTTGTAAACATGATACAGGCCACAGATATGGACCAATCGTCACGAAATGTTGCATGTATTTGGGTAATGATCGCTTAATATTTAAGCGAGGCCACAATTATGACCCGAATATTGGGATCAAGGAATGGATTCTGAATTTGGAATACGCAGGACAGTTTTAATGAAGATCAGTCAATATTTAGCGAGTCACATTGACCCATACTTTTGTGTGAAAAATCAAAAAGTATAGCGCTGATAGCTGGGAAATTTTGCATGAGTTGCGCTTATGGTATAGAACACGCCTATAATTTTCGATGATTATCAGATGATATCTCGGATATGATCTATACGCCACAATTATAAGCCAAACATCACAAATTTTCCATGCTGAAGAATGAATATTGACCTTCATTAGGTCAATATTTGGCAGGTCAAATGCCAAAATATGATTCGATAAAGATGCCTCAGAGAAGCAGTACACATATCGCGAAATATTACTTAGGATCGGAATAAAGATCCGCAGAAAGTTTGAGGTCCGTGGTAGTTGTGTAGGATATCATATGGTCGGCCCCATTCGACTATACTGTTCCGTTCACTGGTTTTAAGCTCAATTAAACACGTATTGCAAAATTTCGAAAAAATCTGGTATGTTTTGGAGGTATGGTGTACCATTTACTTCAAATCGAATGAAATTATATATGTGGGAGCTATATCTAAATCTGAGCCGATTTCAATGAAATTAAATAAAGGGTGATTTTTTTGAGGTTAGGATTTTCATGCATTAGTATTTGACAGATCACGTGGGATTTCAGACATGGTGTCAAAGAGAAAGATGCTCAGTATGTTTTGACATTTCATCATGAATAGACTTACTAACGAGCAACGCTTGCAAATCATTGAATTTTATTTCCAAAATCAGTGTTCGGTTCGAAATGTGTTTCGCGCTTTACGTCCGATTTATGGTCTACATAATCGACCAAGTGAGCAAACAATTAATACGATTGAGACCAAGTCTCGCACTCAGTTTACTTTATTGGACATTAAACCAACCACACGAATGCGTACAGTCGTACAGAAGAGAATATTGCGTCTGTTTCTGAGAGTGTTGCTGAAGACCGTGAAATGTCGATTCGTCGCCGTTCGCAGCAATTGGGTTTGTGTTATTCGACCACATGGAAGATTTTACGCAAATATCTTGGTGTAAAACCGTATAAAATACAGCTCGTGCAAGAACTGAAGCCGAACGATCTGCCACAACGTCGAATTTTCAGTGAATGGGCCCTAGAAAAGTTGGCAGAAAATCCGCTTTTTTATCGACAAATTTTGTTCAGCGATGAGGCTCATTTCTCGCGATTCTATGACCATTTTGAGGGAAAACTTCGGAGAACAATTCATCTCAAGAAATGGACCGGTAAGTTGGCCACCAAGATCATGCGATTTGACGCCTTTAGACTATTTTTTGTGGGGCTACGTCAAGTCTAAAGTCTACAGAAATAAGTCAGCAACTATTCCAGCTTTGGAAGACAACATTTCCGAAGAAATTCGGGCTATTCCGGCCGAAATGCTCGAAAAAGTTGCCCAAAATTGGACTTTCCGAATGGACCACCTAAGACGCAGCCGCGGTCAACATTTAAATGAAATAATCTTCAAAAAGTAAATGTCATGGACCAATCTAACGTTTCAAATAAAGAATCGATGAGATTTTGCAAATTTTATGCGTTTTTTTAAAAAAAAGTTATCAAGCTCTTAACAAATCACTCTTTACATGGAATTCTATACTCCATTAACTATCATTTCCAAAATAAGTCGTCTCAATCGGACTTATTTTCTGGGTTTGGTTTACCATGTACCCCAAATCGGATGTATTTATATATGGGAGCCATATCTGAATCTCCCATCGATTTTCACCAATTTCAAATTGGTGCATCGTTGCCACAAAAAATAAGCTGTATCAAATTTCATACTATTCGGATCGTAAATGCGATCTGTACATTTTTTTTAATTTAATATGGACAGATGGATAAATCGACTTAGAAAGTTATTCTATGGTTATTCTCAAAAGTAACCATGGACCAATCTCGTTTCCATTTGCCTGTTACAAACATATGCACAAAGACATATTGCCCTATACTAATGTGTGGCGATGGGTATAATAACATAGTCCCCATATACAGGTTCCGACCGATTTCAGGAATTTTTGATACATTTGGATGGATGGTACAAACGGTTCAGGTTCCTTGTTTCATTTTTTTTAGTTGGCAAACCTTTATTCCAAATTTAACAATATGGGCACACGTTTTAGTATATACCCCATTTTACAGTACCCAAAATTGTCCGTATATTGAGGATACATGACCCCTATAGTCCGTGTCGACTCAAGGTATTTTAAATGAGGATATAAAAAGTTCGACGTTGTCGAATACCTGAAAAAAAACTTTTATAAATCGTTCAAAACCCGTTTCTGTATTATTGAAGGCAAACATCTTCAATCTTCAGAAATGATCTAGGTTTGGTAAATAAAAAAGGTTTCTTGAGTCGAATGCTCTATATGCTTCATGCAATTTTATTTTTTTCTCTGAGCCAAAGTTTTCTTATACACTTTATAAATATATTTACAATTATACTGAATATAAAAGATAACACAAACAATATGGTGATAAAAAATGCAACAACATCGATATTATAAAATTGCCAAACGTTCAAATTTTGTCCCAAATGACTAAGATGTGGGGCTCTATGCCTCAATACATATTCGATCCAATATATTGCCGTCTGCATTGGTGTATTCTGTCTGTCACGAAAGTGTAAAGATTTCGATTTTGCCATTTTCAAATATTTTTCATTTTCCACCAGCATATGTGCAGCCTTATAGATTCGATGTTCTTGCAATGATGTGGGTCCAATTTTCAATGAAATACCGGTCTGGATTTTCTTAACAAAATTAAAAACTTCCCCTGTTAGAATGTGATCACCTTTTAAACCCAAAATTGGAATGCCATAATGGATACTTTCGATAACACTGAAGTAGCTGCCATAGGAGATTAGTAATTTACAATACGGATGGTTCAGAATAGCGTGATGGGATAAATTCGTAAAGAAATAAACATTGGAAGGTATGTTGAGTAAAGGAGATGGTTGTTTTTGGGTATTCCATATAATCATGAAACTGAGCATTTCAAATTGATTTAATATCTGCTGCATGACATTGTCAGGGAAATGGTCATCCATGGCAACATATATGAAACCTCCTTTGTCACGGGTTTCGTTAAGCATTACGACAATGTGATGTGGTAAGGGTTTCGGCACTTCGGGAATATGTAATCCTGCCACTTCAATTATATTTGGCAAATACGGCCTTGGTTTACTTATGACATGATGATCATTCAATAACACCAATGATATATTCTTTTGTATATCTTCCACTGTGTGACTGGAGTGCGGAAAATTCAGTTTGTAGTATTCATTATTCATGGGCGAAAAATCGTAATCATGATACAAAGTTCCAAGCATAAATAAGGCCACATTTAAACATCTCTCCCAGAAGGTCATATTTTCATCATAACGATGTGTCATTATGACACTGGGCACATACGAAAGTGGTGCTGGATTTCGGAATATAGCATCTAAGGGTGCACTTGCGGCAATTGTGGAAATTCCCACAATTGGCGTATTGAAATGTTCGGCCAAGCCATATAACGATTCAGTGAACATTAAATTCAGCAAAATCAAATCGAAGGATTCTCCCTTCATTAGATCATGTATTTCCGAATTTTTTGAGTATATTTTCACACATTTTAAAGCCAATACTGAAGATTTCTGCCGTTCTATTGAAATGATCCAAACCAATTTCCTTACTTGTGGCATATTTTATTTCTGTAAAAAAAATTAATAAACTTAATAAATTAAATTGTCTACAGTAAGCTGTTCTCATCAACTTACTTTCATACAATGGAATATTATCCTCTATCACAATGGAACGCAAATTGGGTACCTCTGTAGTCTGCGGAAAATTTGTAATCGATGTGACATAATGTCCACGTTCGGCCAATTTACGTAAAAGCGGTTCAACAAATGCATATTGCGGCGGTCCCTCAAAACCAAATATCGATAATATACGAGCTGATCGGCTCACTTGTATTTCAACGAATGTCAAGAATACCACTAAAACTATGTGGAAGCGCATTATACATTCAACTACCCGAAAATGTGAAAACAGACGCGCACACACACAATTCGAACATTAATCAAAATTTATCTATCGGCATTTTGATTATAGTTTTTTTTTTTTTTTTTTGGGAGTGGGATTTGATAACGTTTAACGAAATTATCAAATCACTAATTTAATAAGTAGTGTTGTAGTTGTAACATAGTTTTGTGTTTTTGTTTTTATAGATAACGCTGATATGGTGGTGATGATGATGATTATCATGTTCGAAATTCGAAACTATGGAATTGATCATAATTATCAGTGCCGGCTTGCAGCGGTAATCATACTCTGAAAATTCCCTAAAAAACCAATAAGTAAAAATCAAAAGTCGGACGGAACCCATTATATGATACCCCTTACCACTTTGGGTACATACAAGAGATGATAATGTGTACAATATCCTGTTCATAGAAGAAACATAACATCTCTGGATGACCATTGAAATGGGTCAGGTGAAAAAATGTGATCTACATAAATATTTGAACCAATAAAAACTAAACATGCAAAAATGCATGTCAATCGGGCAGACTTGGATTTCTTGGTGTAACATTTGTATGAAATCCAGGAAAACTACATATGGGAGCTATATGTAAATCTGAACCAATTTTAACAAAACTTAACACACATCAGACTGGACTTAATTCGGTATGCTGGGCGAAATTTTGTCTCAATCGGACAACTGTTGGGAGTTTAGTGCACCATTTATCTAAAATCGGACGAAAATTTATATGGGAGCTATATCGAAATCTAGACCCATTTCAAAAAAACTTTACAGATGTCAATGTAGACTAAACTCCATATGCTGTGCAAAACGTTGTCCTAATCGGGCGAATATTTTAAAGTTGGTGCACCATTTACTTAAAATCGGACGAAACTATATATGGGAGCAATTTGGGACAAAATTTGAATACTTGGCAATTTTATAATATTGATGTTTTGCTGATTATCGTCACCACGTTGTTTATGATATGTTTAATAGTCAATATAATTGCAAATATATTCATGAGATGTTTGAAAAAAATATGGCGTAGAGAAAAATATAAAATTAGCTAAAGAAAAAAATTATAATAAATTATTTATTTTTATTGCGGTCTATAGACTAATTTACAGTAATCTGCAGGTGGAACGATGTGAAATACAAGCTTTGGAGACAAGGTAGTGATGTCAAGAAAAACACCCCTGAGAATATTGCTGCTGTGGCCCGCTAAATGATCAATTTCTCGTTGCTCTTTGGTATTGGACATACCACGAATTTATTGTCTCCACCCTTGGACTTTATTTCGAAGAAAATATTATAGAATCACTTTCTAAGTTGATTTATGCATGTCCGTCTGTCAATGTATTCTTGCGAACAAAGCACATGTCGCATTTATGATCCGATTTAGATTAAATTTGCACACGTCACTTATTTGGTCCAAGGACGGACCCCAATTAAAATAGGAGAAAATCAGTTCAGATTTAGATATAGCTCCTATATATATTTTCATCCGATTTTATCTAAATGATGCACAAACCTAAAAACCAAGCTAAAATCGACCATAGAACTGTTTTAAACCATTTACACCAAGCTGGATTCAAAAAGATGCTGGATGTCAGGGTGCCACACAAATTACAAGAAAAAAATTGGATGGATTTCCATCTGCGAAGCCTTGCCCAAACGGAATGAGATAGACCCATTTCTTAAACGGATTGTGACTGGAGATGAGAAATGGCTCACATACGATAACCCTGTGTGAAAACGATCGTGGTCAAAGAGTGGTGAAGCACCTCAAACGGTGACCAAACCAGGACTAACGGCCAGGAAGGTTCAGCTATGCATTTGGTGGGACAGGAAGGGGATTATTTATTAAGAGTTGCCTCCATATGGCCAAAGGATAAATTCTGATCTCTACTGCCAACACCTGGACCGTTTGAAGATAGCAATAGACCAGAAACGTCCAGGATTGGCCAACAGGAGAGGTATCGTGTTCCACCAGGACAACTTTAGGACACACACATCTGCAGTGAGTGTGGGAATAGCCATACAGTCCGGACTTGACACCAAGCGAGTATCATATTTTTGTTGCATTGAAAAAATTGTTTAAGGGGACCCCCATTCTCGGTGTCAAATAATTTTGTTTTGTTTTCCAAATCTACATTAATTTAAGAATGTCCCTACAAAATTTCAAGTGAAAATCGCAAGAACTATTGAAGATATAGTGGATTTATTGTGTCAGCATCAAGTGACGGCAAGAGTGACTCTCAAACTTTAATCGCATTTTTCTCGAATCAATATTTTACGAATGGCGGGCACGATAACTCAAAAACTAATAACCCAATCGATTTCAAAATTTGGGACGTTTCTCTGTGAGTGTATAGCTATCGTATGAATTAGGATAAAGCCAATCCTTATTTTTTAACTTAGATTGTGGTAAAAAACAGGCGATTTTCCAAAAAAAAAAACATTTAAAATAAAAAAATATAAAAATCGTGAATGGGGGGGAGGGTTCCCTTAATGATAAAAATTGGTATCTAGGGAGGATTGTGAAAATCGACTACTAGAGTTTTTTGCAAATGTACAGCAGGACTTCTATGAGAGAGGCTTTATGAAGTTACCTTTGAAATGGCAAAAAATCATACAACAAAACTGTGTATATTTGGCCCAAATCGGACATTCTGAAGCACGTTAAATAAAGTTATATAATTCATATAAAAATAATGGATTTCTTTTTTCCCTAACCTAATATTTTCACCTGATTTTAAGTAAATGATGCACCGAGGATCCAAAGTATGGCCTACTTTATTTATTGATTTTTTTTATTATTTTTATTTCGTTTTGATTCCAGTTAGTCGCGATCAAATAAAAAACAATTTCATACCAAATATTTTAATAAAACACAATAATATTTCTTAGGCTCTCTTTAATTTTCGCGAATATATTTTCTTTAAAAATTTTCCACAAGCATAAACAATAAAATAACAAATGAACAATATAACAAATATCACTGAGCAAATGAATAACCAAACATCGATGTTATAAAATTGTAATGAATTTAAATTTTGTCCCAAATTGCGTAAATGATCAGCTCCTTTATGTCTCAAAACAAACTCTGTCCAAAAAACTGCCCTCTGCATTGGGGTATCTGGTGGATCACGAAATTGCAAAGATTTATTTTTCGCCAGCTTGCTATATTTTTCATTACTCAGAAGATCCACTACAGCCTTATATATTTGATTATTTGTTAACGTTTTCGATCCAATTTGCAATGAAATACCGGTATTTATTTTAGCAACCGTATCAAAATATTCACCTGGATTGCCATAGCTATAGGCCAGACCCAATATGGGAAGACCAAAATGAATGCTTTCAATGACACTGAGAAAATTGCCACTCGATATTAGCAATTTACAGTTGGGATGGGCCAGCAGGGCATAATGGGATAAATTAGTGTAGAATTTTACATTGGCTGGAATCCGCAAGGCCGACGATGGAGAGTTATTTGCATTCCATATAATCGGATAAGGAAGTTGTTCTAATTGATTCAATATGCCTGGCATTATATTCTGGGGGAATAGGTTGCCTATGGCAATATATATGAAAGCGTGCGTGTTATTAAGTATACCATATACATGGTCGGCTAAAGGTTCTGGTATCTCAGGTATATGTAATCCGGCAACTTCAATCATATTGGGAACATATGGTCGGGGTGAAGTTATTACGGGATGGTCATTTAAAAATATCATTGCATATTTTTTCTGTATATCCTCAATTGTTTTGGTTGCATTCGGAAATTGCCGTTCGTAAAATCTCCTATTTGCTGGCATATATTCATAATGAACATATACGGATCCTAAAATAAACTCCATGGTGTTTAAAAATCGTTTCCAAAAATTCATATTTTCATCCTGTCGATGGGTCATTGTCAGACTGCTTACATAGGAGAGTGGTGAAGAATTTCCCATTAAGCCATCAATTGAAACAGAGGAACCAAATATCGACATACCAATAATTGGTGCATCAAAATATTGCAACAGACCATACAGCGATTCGGCAAATATAACATCCAATATAATTAAATCAAATGTCTCCTTCTGCACCATGTTCACCACCTCGGGATTCTTTAGGATATTTGCGGCAATTTGATAGGCAATGCTGAAGATTTTGCCATTTACACTAAAATGTTCGATGTCAAAATGTTTATTGGTGGCATTTTGTAAGGCTAAAATTTAACACATTTTCAAAATAATATTCACAATATTTGGATCTATACCTTACCTTCACATAAATGTCTATTTTCCCGTATAAAAATTGAACGTAAATGATCGTTTTTTACATTTTGTTCAAAATTTGTTATCGATGTAACAAAATGTCCGCGCTCAGCTAATCGTTTGAGTAGAGGTTCAACGAAAATATATTGTGATGGACCCTCATGGCCAAATATCGATAGTATTCGAGCGGACTGCAACGGTTGGGTGGTAATTACTACCAAGAGAAGAATTGCAACTATTTTGTAGTACATTTATGATTGAAATCAAATACGAATTTTTAACTAATCAAAATAGGTATTCGAATACTTTAATAATGTTATCAGTTGTTGTAAGGTGTTATTGTTTGCTGTTGAAACGATAGTTCAGGTTTATTGTTTGATAAGCAAACGGTTATCTTAATTAATTGTTGTTGTCATTTTTGGTTTCTGAGATAAGCTGAGAAACACAACGCGGTAGGTCGTTTTTGTTTATAAATAAATTAAATGTGAAATCGTCGTTTTACACTTTGGCGACTGAATAACACCCTGCGGATAAAATTAATAGTTATACGGGGCAGTATTTTTAGAAACCATTGACATAAAATATGACATTTACAATGAATCTATAGTGATATGTAAACAAATTATGTGATAAAAGTGAAAACCAGTAAGGAAAGTTCAAAAGATGGACATAGACATTTGAACCATTTACAACCAGTAAGGAAACTAGTGAAGTCGGACTGGGCCGACTATATGATACCCTTCACCAGATTGGGTATATATCCTAACAGACGTCGCCTTTTCGAAGAATATTGTCATGAAATTGAACGAACATAAACATGCCATCTTAATCTATATGTAAACCGACTAACATCAATACCTACACATGCCATTCTGCAACCTATACCAAATATTGTAACTCGACTTAAGGGAACCCACCTTAATTTGCGACATTAAATTTTTAAGATTTTCAAGGGGCTGGCAAAATTAATACCAATGATTGTTCAGGTCTTTAACTTTGCACATATATATTTTAAGATTTAGAAGGGAAGAAAAATAATTAACAATTTTTTTGTTATTGTTTGAATCTTGAATTAATGTAGGTCGAATTAAACCAAAATACAATATAAAATTTTTTTGAAACCGATAATGGGGGGTTCCTCTAAAAGCAAAGTTAACACACTCTGTTCGGTGTGCTGCACTGTTTCAAATTTAATCTCAATCAGAATCCCTTTGATTACTTGGTGTACAATAACACCTGAATAGGTCGAAATTATATATGAAAGCTATGCTATAACTAAATCTGAACCGATTTCCAGGAAACTTGCCCGAGATTAATTTATATTAATTATACCCTTCACCACACTGTGGTACAGGGTATTATGTCTTTGTGCATATGTTTGTAACAGACAAAAGGAATGGTTCCTTTTGAGAATATGCATAGAATCACTTTCTAAGTCGATTTACGCATGTCCGTCCGTCCGTCCGTCTGTCCATGTTAAATTGTAAACAAAGTACAGGTCGCATTTATGATCCGAATTGGATGAAATTTGGCATAGGTCACTTATTTGGCCCAAAGACGAACCCTATTGAATTTAAGGTAAATGGTGCACTAAAGACCCATATATCTGTCGATTTGCACGATATTCGGTATAACGTACTGAATTGAGCCTAAAATGATGTCTGCCAAGTTTCGTGAAAATCGGTCCAAGTTTCGAGAAAATCGGTCCAGATTTAGATATATATAGTTTTGACCGATTTAAGGTAAATGGTGCACTAAAGACCCATATATCTGTCGATTTGCATGAAATTTGGTACAATATACTGAATTGATCCTAGAATGATGTCTGCCAAGTTTCGTGAAAATCGGTCAAGATTAAGATATAGCTCCCATATATAGTTTCGTCCGATTTCATGTAAATGGTGCACCATAGTCCACATATATCTTTCGATTTGCACGAAATTTGGCATAACGTACTGAATTGAGCCTAGAATGATGTCTGCCAAGTTGCGTGAAAATAGGTCCAATTTTAGATATAGCTCCCTTATATTATAGATAGATTTTAAGTAACTGACGCACCAAGAATCCAGTATATGGCTGATAGGAACAAAACGTACGGAAATTAGTATAACCTATCCTGTGACAAGTTTCGTTGAAATCGGTCCATATTTGGATATAACTTTAATACATATTTTTGCCCGATTTTAAGTAAATTGGACATCAAAATCTTCATGTTAGTCAGATTGACATCAAATTTTGCACACCGTACAAAATTGGACATAGAATTACGTAGTTGCGTTTTCTAGAAGTACAGACATAGCCCAACGGATGACCTATTGATATTTGTTTGAAGTCGATTGATCTAAGTCGATTCACATTTAGTTAAATATCACATATTTTTTCATCCAATTTCATGTTAATAGTCCTGTTTAATATATCCATAGTGGTAAAGGGTATCATATAGTCGACCCCGTCCGACTTTACTACTTTCCTTACTGGTTATTTTTGACTGGATGTACTATTATTTATGATATATGCCCATACACTGGAACCTATATGAGGAACAATTTCCCAATGCCACATTGTGTTTGGATGAGGCACAAAAGAATTATTCTTTGGTTTTGTTAAACGATCATTATACCATTACCACACCCAGGCCATATGTACCAAATATGATTGAAGTGGCAGGTCTGCATATACCCTCACACCCGAAACCCATTCCAGAGGATATAAAAACCCTATATACCCCCTATATATATATCCCACATGAGAGTGCGACAATATAATTGGTAGCAATTCAAAGATCAACCTCTCCTCTTGGTTATACTATTAACTTCACGGGCATACGTCTTCAGGGGTAAATATATACGCAATAGAATAAAAATTTTGTACAAATGAAAACAGTTATGCTTATTCTTTGGCCTCTGGAGCGACCAGAAAAACCGAGAAAAATTAAGTATTTGGTCCATATCATCAACTAAATAGTAACCGATCTTCACCAAAAACAATTGAGGTATTCATTGGTCTTCATTTCAGAATCCATCCTACACGAAAAAATTCGTGAAGATTGGTCCATAACTGTGGTCTGTATCGTATTTACAAATTATAATGGACAGACGGGCGGACACACATGTCGAGATCGTTTTTAACTCTTGGGGCTGCACAAAACTAAAATACCCTGACAATATAGTTGTGTAGCGTATAAAAATATAATTTGTAAAATATTTAGCACTATATATAGTAGATTATAGACACAGCGTCATACAATATTTTATACGATTCTGACATCAACTTCCATAAATTTGACTATACGTGTCGCTACTTTTTCACCTGATACATAGAAGAATATCTTCGAAAAATAAACATTAATCTCCTTAAATTAAATTTTGTACTAAAGCATTGATTTGAAACTCATTTTGCCCAAGTAAGTATTTTTCAGAATTCTTTACAACTTGGTTAAATTAATTTCGAGATAAAATGCAAACTTTTACAACTGCAGACATTGACGTTATCTTTTTATAACAGTTATTGAAAGGTAGGAATATTTGTTAATGAATTAACTAAATAGAAATGGCATGTATGGATTTCATGACGTTTGCACCAATATGTATTATACAGAACGGGCATCAATTTTAATGTCATTTTGTGTATAAAATATATAATTTTGTTATATGAGACACTTATAGAAAAATATAAGGTATGTAATCATGATATATGTCAAATTCTATGCCGACTTTGCTGCATCCGTGGGTATGTTGGTATTTTCAACAGAAGTGACTCGTAGATTATATTATATGTCAGTTTTCTATCTTCCAACCGGGGTGAATGTAATTTCGAACTTGTTGTTTTCGGAGATAAAACACCCTGCTCCATCTTGATTTAATTCAAATAGGTAAAATTTTATTCATTACCCCATATGAAGGTTCCGTCTGATTTTCCATATTATGTGGCTGTAAGATTTATTTTAAAGGTAAAATATTTCTAGGCGTAAAATTCTCAATATCAAAGCTTTCGTCCCATGTCGGGAATATTGAATATACTAATACTAATTTGAATTTCCAGTAATTTTATATTCCAAGGTTTCATTGTCCTTATATAGTGATTTTCCAATTTAAGTGACTGAATTGAAATTAAGGGTTATAAAATGTTTAAACTATTGCTAAATTTTTGACGTATGTCTCCCATACATGTGTCCGGGTCCGTTTTCGTTGTTTTGATATTCCGAACCTAGGTGGACCAAAACCTTTTCAACATAGGTCGATATTTTAATATACCTGCTACATACAGAGCCCATGCCATTTTAGTTATGTTTTTACTAATTACTTCTACATTTGCTTTATGACATCTCCAACTCATCACTGTGCGCGACACCACTTTATCGTGTGCGAAATCAACACATCGTCGTAACCAGAACAAACAAACAAACATTTAAGATTTCAAAAAGCTGATAAGAAAGTTTTGCGAATATATTCATCCATAATTTATTTTGTTTTTCCGATTAGTATCACAAACAAGACGATTGAATTTGGTATGGAAATATCAAGCGTTATGTCGAACGCTTAAATGTTTGATAATACAAATGTACGCCATTACACTACTAACGGTAATATTGAGTGGTCATTTGCCGTTAATAACAGATTCAGCGCGAATTCTATCGATTTTGGCATTTCCGGGATCGAGTCAATATGAATTTATACAACCATTGCTGCAGGAGTTGGCCCACCGGGGCCATCACATAACATCTGTGAATAATTTCCCCCTGAAAGAACCAATAGGGAATTTTCGAGATATTGTCATAGAAAAGAATTTGCATTTGTTTGATGGTGAGTGTGTACCATTTCGAAAAAAAAAACAATTTTATATTTAATTTAATTTAATTTTTTTCTTTCCAGAATTTAAAAACTTCACTATGGATAACATCAACAGCAATTATTTCAATTCAATTGAAAAGTTTTATGGTCGATCGTATAAGATGTCCCGCAATGTATTTGTGGATCCGCAATTTAAGGCAATAATGACAAAAGAATCATTTGATTTAATAATTGTGGATATAACATTCGCGGAAGCCTTCTATGGCCTGGGTGAATATTTTGGAGCACCAATGGTGGCCATATCCTATTGGAGTGCAATGACCTCAGTCGATGAATTGGTTGGCAATATCACACCGCTGTCGTATATACCAAATATGATTATGATGCGAAAATATAATCAAAATATGAATTTTTGGAGACGATGGTTGAATGTCATAGTTTTTATTTTTGACTGGATATAC